CCAGAATTTGCGAATCGATTCGCGCGATTCGCTAGCGTCCGCGGTCGCGTTGCGGTACCAGCCAATTGAGTGATTCACTGGCCGCGACGCGACCGCAGACGCTAGCGAATCGCGCGATTCGCGCAAAGTCTGACATCGGCCTTAGGATGAATCTGATACCCGTAGCGATAGAAGAGTAATTTGGTCAGGATGTGATGCGATCCGCTGTTACTAACGGTTATGAGCCTATTGCATTGCGTACCGCATTCGTTTTTCAATAGTAAAGAGCTGACAGCTTCTATATAATGTCGTATTGTCTTGGACGGTCCAAGGCATCGAGATCTCACGTATTTTTTCCTTACAACTTCGAAAAAGAATTGGGTCTTCGAAATAAAATCCCGAAAAAGCTGCTCCTCTGCTAATTTTTCTTTTCACTCTTTTATTTCGCCTTGGTGCACTACTTCGTGCACTTTTCCGCAATGTTGTCGTAGGGTTCGGTGTAATCGTATCGTATGACAGCTTCAGTCTCCTAGAGGTCAGAGAACAACAAGATGGACCGTGGATGAAGAGATGAATATCATAACACACTGGGAAATTCTAGCTCAGAACGCAGTAATGTAATCGCCGACCACCTGTAATAACATTTAACATGCGCGATTCTTACACAGCTCACTTACAACATGCTGCTGCAGGATTGTGCAGATTCAACCCACAAAATCGCAGCACATCCACAAATCCTGCTTGAAACACAGGGCGCAATGCACCCAAGAAATTTGGCAATTTACCGCAATTGAGAAAAAAGCGTAACTTGGCTCATCTCTTTCCGCAATAATATGTACCCATTACGCTGCTAAAATGGTGCAGGGTAAAGTTTCCCAATCTTGTAGACCTCAAGTGCCCTAAACAATTACTATAGGACCACATTCAATGTGCAATAATGGGGTCGTTTCGTACAGGACAATAGCTCCCTAAAAAACCATCTTGAAGCTCATCATTTTTCGCGATAATTGTCTCGGAGGCCGCTAAAACCAGGGATGTGCGGGAATGGCTACCGCAAACTAATCTTCTATCCGCTTTCGTTGAGTTCAACTTCTTCTTTCGTGAGGCTCCTGCTCACAGATTTGGTACAGATGAGGGGCAAGTGGTACATTGCATACACATACATAACCCGTATATCGATTGCCGGATGGGATCCTCTGTTGACAAGCTATGCTTTCCAGCGTTTCGAAACCGCTCGACAAATACCATATCTGGTAAGATCAGAACTCCGATTCCTACGATGCCTCACCGGTGCATCTCACTGCATCAATCAAATACGCATTCGAAAGTCATTACACTTCCGAAAGAGGGATAGAGCGCGTGGCGCATCTCAGACGAGACATTGAGAATCGGCAACTTGATTTATTAGGTTGGCAAAGAAAGTTCTGCGACACTCTTTCTAAAATTTTCTTTTTTTAAAAAATCAATAGGTAACATTTATGACTAACAAATGGTAGAGCATTCTCGAGGCTTTAATCCACGAGGTGGATATAAGTGCTGCAGTCAGTAGTTATCCAAGAAAATTCAAAAACCTCGACCACTAGTAAATCCACAGTCACTGTCTAGTACAAATGTCTCCATAACTATGGATTCGTGTCAAAGACCAACACTATCTGCAATAGCTTCAATAGGCATGTCGTTCACCGCTACAGCGTGTTCAGCTCACGGAAGCTCATTTACAAATTCTTCGTTATGGGCACCATTGTGTAGGTAGAGGTCTAGGCTGCGGAACTCCAGAAGCTGGCCGAGGCAGCTCGTCAGGAGCCCTCGTACCGCGACAATATTCATTTCTTTCATGACATTGCGATTCACCATGACCGGAAATGGGCCCGCTAAGAAATACTGGAGCTGCGG